ATTAATTATCAAAAAACAATAGGGTGATAGCTTCAGTAGTATTGAGATAGGATCCCAGTTTTCATCTGCTAAATTTATTTCACAACAAATAAAAAAAAAACTCTAATTTTTACAGCTGAATTTATCAGGGGTTTTTTTTTAGCTCTCATTCTGATTTTGTAGAAAACTGTAATTCTAACTAAAATTAAGCTAAAAAATATGTAAAATAATGATCCATTGGTGATTATTCCTTGCTGAGCAGACTTTTCCTTTAAAGGACTTGAAAATGATGCTTCAGCTTAAGTGGTCAATTGTTCTTCAACTGTTAAAGGCTTAAACTCTTTTCTTTTAATTTTAAGGGTTTGGTCCTGTCCTTTTTAATAATAGATGCGAAAATGTAGCGTTGTTTGCTCAGCATTGGAGGCTTTAAAGACATTGTCAAAAATAATTCATTACTTCTGTTATCAAAAGGACAGAAGACATTTTTATTTATGTCAATTGACTCACTTGTCAAATAAAGATAAGACATTATGGGCTAAGCATGGAACAAATGGAACTGGAGGTGTGACACTGTTTAAAAAAAGGGACATTGGTTATCTATGTTGACTAAAACTGACAACATAAACCTCATAACACTTAACATTTATGGTTTTTATAAAGTTATTTTAAACAGAGTTCTGCTGGACGAATTACTTCAGATACTTGAATTAAACACCTCACTGAACATGTCGTTTTGGGTGGGGACCATAAACAAATAGCTGGGTAGATGGCCTCCAAGATTAGGCAAACAAAAATGCAATGGTCTGATAAGTAGTTTTATGATAGATAATAACCTAATTTATGTTTGGAGAACTTTGAACCCGGAGATGCTGAATAAAACTTTGACCTTTGAGGCTCACATCAAACACCTCTGCAAGACCTCCTTCTTCCACTTCAGAAACATCGCCAAACTTTGTCTCAAAGTCACTCCTGCAGATGCAGAAAAGCTTGTCCATGCTTTTGTCTCCTCCAGGCTGGACTACTGCATTGCGCTCCTCATCGGGATCCTTGAGAAAAGTCTTAAGAGGCTGCCATACATACAAAACAGCGCTGCATGACCATATCACCCCCTTCCTCAAATCACTCCCTCCTTACCCACCAGTGCATCCATGGTGATGCTCCACCATACCTTAAGGAACTTCTCACCCCACAGACCTCAACACTTAACCTCCGATCTACTGCCGCATTTCTGCTGAAACCACCAAGGACGAAGCTTCATACAATGGGAGATCAGGCTTTCTGTTCAGCTGCTCCCAGGCTGTGGAACGCTCTCCCTGGCCACCAGAACACCCCACAGACTATGGATGCTTTTAAATGTAGCCTTCAGACCCACCTTTTTAGGAGAGCTTTTAATTTAACTCTTCCCCCCTTTTTTATTGTGTTTCATTATTTTATCTTTTCTTTTACTTTTTATTTCTCATGCTCTCCATGTAAGGCTTTTTATTTAGCACTTAACTGTTTTACTACGTAGCACTTTGGGATTTGTTTAAATATAAAGTGCATTACAAGTCCAAAGTATTATTATTATTATTATTATTATTAAAACCTAATGGACAATGTGAACCAAGGTTGGATTATTAGTTAATAATATAAGATTTCTTAACAAACGGCACAAAATCAGCAATCTCTAAAGTACCGCTATCTGATCAGGATTTTATAAGCTTAAAGTTATAGTGGAGGATTTTTGAAAAGACCCACCCTCTCCACTTCAAAAAATGAATAATAAAAATGCACATACATAATTCTGTACGCGCTCCCGAGAGGGAACGCCTATTAAATGCGTGTGAGAGCGTGCACAAACCCATTTCTCCTCGTGCACGCTCTGTTTGAAAGTTGCTGTTTGCATCGCTCATACAAGCTTACTTTCCAAAAGAAGATCTGCAACGTTTCCACTATGTCAGAAAGAACACCCTAAACCAGGGATCTTCAACGTTTTCCAGGCCAAGGACCCCCAAACTTATGACCAGATGGAGCAGGGACCCCCTAATTATATATATCGTATGAAACTGTGTTAAATCAAACTGGTCCTATAGTCCCTCTATTACAGATGGAGTAATGTAACTAAAGTAATCCCTCCCTGGGATTATTAAAGTATTTCTGATTTCTGGTTGATGGGACAGGTGTTGTGAATGAAACGGTGCCCAGCTTGAAAGAGCTCCTGTGTGTCGCTGAATGTGTGCATTGATGACTGAAAGACATCTTCTGCCTCCATTTATCTGTTTACTACAGTCTGTTGGATTCATGTTAATGTGGATTTAAAGACATTTCAATTCAGGAGGGAATATAAAAAAAAAATAAAAAATGAATCAACCAAAAGTTTTGCGACCCCCATGCAGTACCTCCGTGGACCCCCTAGGGGTCACGGACCCCCTGTTGAAGACCTCTGCCCTAAACTATACCTTTAACAATATCTAATATAAGGATAAAGAGAAACCTTGGTTTACTTCACAATGATGAATATTGTAACAGGATAAAAAAATAATGAAAGGATGTGAAAGCTGGAATCACAGATTACATAAAGGAATAGGATATTTTTAAATATAAAATAAGACTAAATACAATAAATTTCTGCAAAGAAGGGACAGCAGTATAAATGTGATCAGATTGGATCAAATGAACCAAATGTGTAACTACTTAGCATAGTATTTGCAAAGAGCTCAACATGCTTCCTGTAAGTTGGTCAGGTCGAAAGTAAATTATTAAAGCTGGAGAAAATAATTATGTGTGCTTTCAATGGTCAGAAAAAAAGACAGCAGAGAAACTCTATAAAGTCTTTATTGGTCAATAATGAGGAATGCAATTTTTACTTTACTTCATGGGGCTTTGGTCCCACTACAGAGCTGGTACTTTCTCGCATTCCCAGCCATTGTTAAAGGATGGGCTGCATCCAGCAGCAGTACTTTTTCCACAAGCGGTGGCAGTAACCCATAAAGGTGAGGTTTTGCTTAGTCAAGATAAGTTTATAGAGGATTTCAAGCAAGGAAGTATACATCAAAACCTCATCTCTGTCGTATTTTTCATTGTATTATATTTCAGCCAGTTATATACTCTGGCCAGGTGCAAGTTGATTAAAGAAAAGTAAAATAAATGTGACTTTTAGTGCAGAAGGATTAACTAGAACTAAAGGGAGAACCAGTAGCTTGTTCTACCAGCGCCACTTGCTGGATTGAAGGGATAGTGCAGCTTCATGCTAAATGTGCTGAGTAATGAGAAAGCATGCTATTTAACCAGGATTCCTATTACCAGGGCAATAAGATCCTGGGGCTTTATATCCTGAAATGAGTTTTTGGAACTTGGGATGTCTGTGGATTGACATTAAAAATCTCCTATTTAGGGCTATAAATGCATGTATTAAAACATAATCAATTAATACATACCGGTAATCTAAAAACCAACTACT